TGGAGACAGTAGGTTAAGTTTATGGATATAGCATTTTGTCTTAAGGACAGGAAGAGGAGGCAGAGGGTATGTTTTCCTGGGGCTGGGATGGGAGATATTGTTAGCCGTCTGGACATCATGAAAGGTAATGGGAGCAATCTATTATCTCCCTCAGTGCAAGAGGCAACGATGTTGGCAGATGTAGGAGTGAGGACCTGATTAACAGGTATAGGTCAGCAATAGACAATTAGGAAGAAGGGTGGGAACCCTGTCATATGTGGTATTTTGCAAAGGAGAGGAGTTGGAAACGAATGTTTGTCCAGGGCAATTGGTGTCAATTGTTGGCTGGACAAATATTGTAAGGAAAATGCAGCAACATTCATTGACAAGTGGGACCTCTTCTATGGCAGAAATGACATGTATTCCAGGGATGGGGTACACTTATCTAGGTGTGGGGTGGGGGCACTGGCAACTGCAGTGGAGGAAGCTGTTAGGACTTTAAATTAGGAATAGTTAGTGGTATGGGTTTTGGCGGTAAATCAGTGAAGTCCCAGTGTAGTAATATTATGAGTTCTAAGGGAACTAGTAATAAGCAGAACGAGGTGGATATTGGAAAGCTAGTGGCACTAGGTGGCAAGGACAGTAATAGGTTTAGTAGAAAAACAGAAATGAGCAGGAAGGGTAAAGAGAAAGGAGGGTCTTTCAATGTATATTATGCTAATAGCCGTAGTGCTAGGAATATGATAGACGAGTTGAGATTAGTTGCTAGTGCAGGTAACATTGATTTATTTGCCATAACTGAGACGTGGTTTAATTAAAAAAGTCGGGACAGGCCTGCAGAATGTCACATTCAGGGTTTTAAATTGTTCCAAGTAGATAGAAGTATCGGGAAGGGAGGTGGGGTGGCATTGTATGTCCGAGATCGCTTGAACTGTTGCATAAAAACGGGTATTAAGTCAGAAGTAACACATACAGAGTCTGTTTGGATAGAATTTTCACAGGGGTATGAAAAATTGAATTTAGGAGTGATATACCGTCCCCCAAACTTAGATAAGGACCAAAGGAGACTACTAAAGGAGGAAATTGTTAAGGCCACAAGACAATATAATGTAGTAATTCTAGGAGACTTTAATTTTAGTCATATTGACTGGAATTTCTTGACTGGGAATTTAGAATCTAACAACTTCTTAGAAGTAGTTCAGGATTGTTTTTTGAGGCAGTTTGTGACAGAACCTACAAGGGGAAATAACCTGCTTGACTTGGTTCTGGCAAATAAAGAAACCGTTGATAATTATTTAGAAATTACATAGGAACTCGGCACAAGCGATCACAAATTAATTACCCTAAGCATTGAATGGAAGTATGATAGTAGGGATAATTCGGTAATGGTCCCAGATTTTCACTTAACAGATTACAATGGGCTTAGAGAACACTTATCATCTGTGGACTGGGGTAACGAAGAGAGCTATCAATATGACAGTTTTCTTAACACAATACATGCTGCCCAGAGAACATTTATCCCATATATGGAAATTAGATCGAATAGAAACGACACAAAATGGATGAATAATAGGTTCAAATATCTTTTAGGGCAGAAGAAAGGAATTTTTAGACGCATCAAAAGAGGTGAAGGTCATCTTATGAATCAGTATATTGGCATTAAGAGGAACGTTATAAAGGAGATAAGAAAAGCCAAACGAGAGTACGAAATTAAAGTTGCTAGGGATTCGAAAACTAACCCAAAAAGTTTTTTCCAGGTGTATAGAACAAAGGTTGGGGATAAGACAGGCCCCCTTAAAATAATTTTGGACATCTTACTGACAAAGAGAATGAAATGTGCTCGATTTTAATTATTTTCTCTCGCTTTTTACACAGGAAGACACTAACAATATCCCAGTAATTAATTTTTATAGTGGACCTGAAGAAGATAAATTATGTAACGTCACAGTCACTAGTGAAATGGTTATGAAACAAATAGATCGTCTGAAACAAAATAAATCACCGGGTCCTGATGAGCTTTTTTCAAGAGTTCTTAAGGAATGCAAAATGGAACTCTGTGAACCATTAACATTTCTATCTACCCCATCATTCTCATTATTATTATTATAATCAAAAAAGAAGCGCTAAGCCACAAGGGCTATACAGCGCTGCAGGGAAGGGAAGGAAGCGAGGGTATTGGATGGCAGAAGGGAGGAGGCAAATAGATAAATTAAAACCTAACAAATCCCCAGGCCCTGATGAACTGTATGCAAGGGTTCTAAAGGAATGTAAAGAGGAGCTTAGCACACCTTTGGCTAATCTTTTCAACATATCACTAAAAACTGGCATGGTGCCAGATAAGTGGAAAATGGCAAATGTGATACCTATTTTCAAAACAGGTGACAGGTCCTTAGCTTCGATCTATAGACCAATAAGCCTAACCTCCATAGTGGGAAAATTTATGGAATCAATAATTGCCGAGGCAGTTCGTAGCCACCTTGAAAAGCATAAATTAATCAACGAATCTCAGCATGGTTTTACAAAGGGGCGTTCCTGCCTTACGAATTTATTAACTTTTTTCACTAAGGTATTTGAGGAGGTAGATCATGGTAATGAATATGATATTGTGTATATGGACTTCAGTAAGGCTTTTGACAGGGTCCCACATCAGAGACTATTGAGGAAAATTAAAGCACATGGAATAGGAGGAGAAATTTTTTC